ATCCCTTCTCCTCCATTCTCCTCCCGGGATCTTGGGCACGCACGCACACGCGCCCGGCGTGAGTTTTAAGCCACTGGGTCCGGGACGCGAACCGCAGTCGACTACGTGGGAGTCCAGCGACATAGCCATGACGCTAACTGCTGGTTCCCCCACCTGGCATGCTTTTCAAGCTGTGAGGGCCAAGATTTGAATTGTGCTTGGCACTATGGAACCTGGCTCCCTTAACCACTAGGCCAGGGAAATGCTTAATTCTTCTTCTTTTTTTTTCCTTCTCTTTTCGTTCTTTTTCTTTTTCTTTTTTTTTTTTTTTTTAAGAATTATTTAACTTTGGGACCAGGTGGCATGGTGCTTAAGGCGCTGGACACTCCCACATGGCCGACCAGGGTTCGAGTCCTGAATCTGGTGGCTTGCTTTCTCACTTCCTCTCTCACTCACTTTCACCCTGTCTCTCTCTGTTCAAATTCAAAAATAAATGAATGAATAAATAAAAAATAAAGAATTTTTTTGGGGGGAGAGGTTTTTCACTATAGGGCACATGCGCTCGCCAGACAGACAGAGAGACATAGAGACAGAAAGCGAGAAATCACCCCCCCCCAGAGGGGATAGCCATGCCGCAATCCCTTCTCCTCCATTCTCCTCTTGGGATCTTGGGCACGCACGCACACGTGCCCGGAGTGAGTTTTAAGCCACCAGGTCTGGGACGTGAACCGCGGTCGACTACGTGGGAGTCCAGCGACATAGCCATTACGCTAACTGCTGGTTCCCAAGAATTATTTTTTAAAAAAGAATGATTTAACTTTATTTATTCATTCACTTTATTTTTATTTGGCCCAAGAGGGACAGAGCAAGAGAGAGAGGAAAAGTGAGAAAGCAAGCTGCCATGTCCAGACCTCGAACCACAGTCGGCCATGTGGGAGTCCAGCACCTTAACCACCATGCCATCTGCCGGCCCCATTTATTTTATTTTATATACAAAGAGTCAGCGTGATAGCTTTCACTGGGTGAATATCTCGGACAACCCATTCAAAGAGCATTTAGTCTAACTTGATGACGTCTGCGCCTTCCCACACTGACGGTACACATCGAGGCCGTATTTCAGATCAGACCACGCTGGTTCGAGCGCTCGCGGCAAGGTTTTCTCTGGTGGTTCCAGTAGAACTGCTGGTGACCCAGCCTCATTTCAGAGGGGCAACGAAGCAAACGTTTCCCTTTTTTTTTTTGGAACGTTTGCATAGGGCATGTACGCTTATTGGAGAGAGACAGAGAGAGGGAAAGTGAGAAACCACCTCTGGGAGGAATGACCACACCTCAAGTCCTTCTGTTCGGCTCTCTGCGGGATTTTGGGCACGCATGCACATGCACATGATGTGATTTTCTTTTTATTTTTTTGGTGAGGTTTTCTTTTCTTTTCTTTTTTTTTCATTGCCATAAGGCGCATGCGCTCACCAGACAGATAGACAGACAGAGACAGAGAGACAGAAAGCGAGAAATCACCCCCCAGAGGGGATGGCCATGCCACAATCCCTTCTCCTCCATTCTTCTCTTGGGATCTTGGGCATGCACGCACATGCACCCAGCGTGAGTTTTAAGCCACCGGGTCCAGGACTCAAACCGCGGTCCAGCGATATAGCCGTTATGTTAACTGCTGGTCCCAAGCATGGTGTGATTTTCCAAGCCACTGAGTCCAGCTTCCAACCGTGGTTGACCATGTGGGAATCCAGTGCCTTAACCACCATGCCATCTGCTGGCCTCTTAATGCTTTCTTTGTAAGTTTATTTCTTCCATGAAAGCGGTAGGCACCTGCAACAGGGTCTTCGTGCTCCGATCCACTCCCAGCCCCAGCCAACCCAAGTCCCTGGCCTGCATGTGTGTGCCCAGTGCGAACAGAGACCCCAGGATGCAAATGGGGACCTTACCTGCAGTGTTACTACTATACCCTTATCTGGTCCCAAATGCATAACTCTTTGAGCTACTGATTTTCACACTAAAGAGTTGGCACTTGGGGCTGGCAGGTGGCATGGTGGTTAAGGGCACTGGACTCCCACATAGCCGACTGTGGTTCAAGT